GGGGAGTGGCAGTGGAGGGGAGTGGCAGTGGAGGGGAGTGGCAATGGAGGGGAGTGGCAGTGGAGGGGGGAGGATAGAAATAGGGAGATAGAAATCCTCTTTCTTACATGTTTACAGTTTCTGTAAGATTTAATTTTTGGTTGCACTGAGGTATTAGTGAGGCATGAGATTTTTCCACTTCTGTGTAGTGCTCATTATAACTCAATGCCAAACAAGGCTGATAGTCAAAATCTTCACTCTTCCTTCTGTGAAAAGCAATGACGTTAATCTTGTGGAACTTTGAGAGGGGCATCTGGGGGTGTGTACTTGTTTTTCAGTGGGAGGGGGCGCAGACATCTGTTTGGGAAAGGGAGACATGTTTTTGCTTTAGTTATGCCACTGGTGAAAAATGATGTAGGATCCATGGTGTCAAATGGCAGTGTTGATACCAACTCTTATTGGTTGATTGATCAAGCATGAATGTGCAGGCATACCACATTCCCCCAAAATCGCACATTACTGCTGAACAACTGATCTGAAAGGGCTGTTTCAGGGTTAATTAAATTTGTGATCGCTAAGGTGGACTTCATCTCCATATTTCATATTTTTGCTCACCCTTCATGATGATTCATTCGTCAGCTCCCTCCCTGTGTGATGTTGTACATGATTCTCTCACACTGTCTCCATGGTAACTCATAGATCAAGGTACATACGAACACTTCAATGTGGTGAACGTTTGTGCATGCTGTCCTCACTGCATGTGTCAATGGAACTTGACCTTTTGGGAATAATTGTAATAATATATCAATGCATGTACAATGTGCAAAAAATAATATATCAATGCATGTACATGCTTACGTTCATGTATGCTGCTACATTGTCCATACAAGTTGGAAGAAGGTGTCTTTAATAGGGTTCAGATATCTTAGAGTTGTCATGTGAAAAGACAGGTAGTGACTGAATCTGGCATTTTGGTGGTGGTTGTGGCTAGCCTCAGCAGTGGTGAAATGATGAAACTACAAGCCACAGTTGTAGCTGGAATTGTCAATTCAGACAAGGCCCGGATCCTTCAGTGCTGTTATGCATTCATTCTCACATCTTGAAAGCTCTGTGATCTGTCAGGCCCTGTCTGAAATGGACATGTTTTGTGTGAATCCAGCTACATGGTATGCCTTATGAATGGCTTTTGAATGGCTTTACTCTAAAGCCGTACAAGGTCATATTCAGTACACACATTGTAGTACACAGCTGAACTTTGACATGTTTGAGGGTCGCAGACTGCAAAGAACTGTGGAAGATGTGACAGAGTGCAAAGTGGATACTTAGAGTTTTGTTTTTGTTGTTTTTTTGCCATTATTGTTCATTTGAATTCCTAGGCCATAGAAAATGATCAGGTCCAAGTTGCTAATATATTATCAACCGACATATATTTATAAGCAGACAATTTTTGATGATGATCCTAGCAAGCTTTGCTCAGAGATCAAATACCCTCATGTTAGACATAGTGTGATTGTTATTTTTGTATGTGGGTATGACCTGTACATGTACCGGTGCTTTGCCTCATTATTAGAACATCATCTTGAAAGTGTCAGATGTGCCGCACGGGTGAATCCATGTTTGACTTGAGGGAGTGAGTGTTAGCTATCAAACAAATGAGGCATATTCAGACCCATGTTTTATACCCCCATTTTTGGCAGGCTGAAAGAAAGGCATTACCCCTCATCACCCTTCACAGCGGATCTGCTGGGTTATGTATTTGTAGCAATAAAGGAATTTTAATTCTAGACACAAAACACTTGAACCGACCTTGTTACTCACAGTATGATTTAATGATAAGAAGCTATAATTACAGTGTACTGTTTCCAATCAAAAGTTTGAACACACACAGTCACCTGTAGCCAATTCAGATTATTTTCAATATTTTTGCAACTTGGCCTATTTGTTCCCTGGCCTAGGACCATTTGTTTGCATGATTAATTCATCCCATCGTTTAATCTGCCTCATGTTTGAGCTGTGTAAACTCACCGCATGATAACTATTGGACCATTTCTGCTTTTACGTGTATGTTCATAGCATGGTGCCCAGCAGGCTTTGCACAGCTTTGCATCGGAAATAACCTGTACAGCTACACCCGCATCAGAGTTATCGAGAGTGGAATGAAATCCTCTGAAATTTATGTCTCACTCTGCTGATTTTCTACTGACGTCCTAGTGGATATTTGTATACCTTGTTTCTGATGCTCTGCCACATTTGTATTACAGTATTTTGTGTCTTTTGTATGTGGGTACGAATTGAGCACTTATTCCAACTGATAGCTGTCTGCATTTGTCCAAAACGGTGTCCACCTAGATATTGGAATTTGTTGGGAATATACATGTACATGTATTGTGTTTATGTATTATTGTGTTGCATCAACTTTATTTTAGCATGCAGTGAGCATGGAGGGGTCGTGTGCACTTGTGAATTTAATGTTTACTTGATAGAGCTTACAAGCGTCTGTGTGGTGTGCATGCTTCTTTTAAGGATCTTTGCAAGTTTGATTCTTGTTTTAGTCAAATTCATCCCAGGTTCTTGGAGGGTCCATCAGACCCATCACAAGCCCTGTACAAGTCATCCAGTCATACCAGTCAAAGTGACAAGCCATTCAGAGAACTGTGAAAAAAGCATTCCTTTGTAATTGTTATGCATCCTGTAGCTTGCGACCGTTGATACGGAAGGACTTGTGAGTGTGCGCGTGAAAGGACTTGTGAGAGACTCAAGTATAATGCGCAATGTGATAATCGTGTACTTCCACAAAGCACAGTTTTAGGACTCTAGCAAGAAAATACTCTACCCCTTTTTTAGCACAAATGCGTGTACTGTAAATGTACTGCAGAATTTGCTCGCCATTATAAACTACCATATAGCCCTGTATGCAACAGGCCATGGGTGGAAATCTCTCCTCGATCATGGGGGGGAAGGGGACATCCATTTACACTTTTTTTGTGCACACCGCATTTATTATCTTATTCCATTTACAAAAACTCAAAAGGGAAAATCCTCCATCCATCACTTCCTTTATTATTTTGTTTTGCTTAAAATGTGGAGGGGCATTCGACATTGTGTCCCCCCCTACCAAGTTCACCGGGGATACGTGTCCCCCCAGTCCCCCAGGGATTTTTCGCCCATGCAACAAGCGTGCGGTTGCGGACACAGTCAGGTGGGCTAGCTCATCATTTGGAGTAAGTGCTGTGTGGTGCTCCGCCATCACTGCTTGCTCGCTTGCTTGCTTGCTTCACTCTTGGTGTTTTCTCTCCTCTTCTCTGGCCATGTGTGTCTTGTAGTGATGAGGACAGTTACAGTGAGGAAACAGAATCCAGTGATCATGATGACAGCAGGTGATATGGTTGCTGACGTTTGTTCCCTGGTCCCCTCTTTTGCATCTCCCTCAAACTGCACGGATTTTACAGCGTTCACAATACTCACCATGCACTCCCGTATTAATGTGTTTCTAAGTAACACCCCCCCCCAGTTGCTCAGCAACAAATTTATTGCCCCGATCATCAGAGTTGCAGGGTGAATGATTATGGTGCTAGATCTAGAGTATCAAAGCGTGAAGTCATTTGGCCTTTATTTTAAAAAGAAATTTTTTTGCAACAAAATAACAAATGTAGTGGAATATACAATATGCAAAGGCTGTCTGTTTAAGAATGATGCAGCATATATTAATATATTTGAGTGACTTCTGCAAATCAAGTATAGACACTAGGCCTTATTTTTGCCAATTGCTAGCCCTGTAGTTCAGCATGAGGTACTCACTGATAAAGCTTGTTTGTTGATATCACAGTCTGAATCATTTTTCACAATATTCACAGCAGATCCTCACTCGTAAACATTCAGCTACGTGTACTGCATAGCAGCAAGTCATCACAGCGATTCAATTTTTCTGTAGTCTGAATGCTGTGCTGTTATCTCATACTGTGGAAGTCAGGTCCAAAGCATAAATACTTTCAGTGTTCTCCAAGTTGTGCAGTTTAAACTTGGTGAGGACTGACAAAAATATTGAAATTTGAAGTGAGCCAGGAGGGGATCATGACTCACTTTGCGGACCTTGTCAAAAACCTCAGTTAGTTCATGCCATCTTTGCAATTGGAATCAATTATCAACATTCATGGGCAGCTTTCCTCATTAAGATTATGCTGTATTCTAGAATGCAGGTGTGACACCCAAAATGTTAAACTTTGCAGCCGTACTTTAAAGTTGGTTGCTACCTTGTGGACTTGATTCTTGAAGTACTGAATTTTTAAGCATTGAGATCTCCAGAAATGGTGGATTGAGTTTTCTGAAATCTTTTTTATGAGACACTCAGTAGCAAGCCTTGATACATTAATTGATATAGCATATACATGTACGGTACATCGGTGTGAGACAACCAGGGCCCAATTTCACAGTGCTACTAAGCACACAATTTTATGTTAACAGAGCCCCATGCATTTCACTAAGACCAAAGTCAGTAAGCAGAGCAAAAGGCTCACATACCTTAGGGAAAAATTTGCTTTATGCCACGCCAAGTACTCCATGAAAATGGGGCTTACTGTTTATAGTCAGCATGATTGATTTGCTAACTGTTAACCCCTTCGCGCCGGGACGCGTTAAGACACGCCGTAAAAATTGAGATCCTCAGCCCGCTTTTTAGCAAATATTCTTGGCCCACGCTCCAGCGAACACAGTGAAAGAAGGCAGACCCTGGCTCTTGTGTACATGGTAATTGGTCTT